CTCTCTCGATATAATACGGTAGTGGGCCAGAACAGCGTGTAGCCCCAACTCTTGCATGAGGACAATGAACCAAGATGTTGGGAAGATGAAGCAGTTCATTAAGGTATTTGGCATTCTGCTGCTTTGTAGGCAAACTGTTAGGAGTTAACCTTTGAAAAATCCTTGCGGGGCCTCTTTCGTCGTCGCTAATGGAAAATCTGACACACAATCTGGTCAGCTAAGGAACAAGTGGCCCTCAACTTCCAAACGGTTCTCGAACAAGGAGGCCATTGATTAAGATTATTTGTCCACTTACAAGAAGTAAAACTGTTGTCGCTTGAGCCACAGAATCTTTCCTTGAGATGCGGAATGTAAACAGTGTCACCAAGTATTAAATTCCTAAAATTTCGCATCATATTTATCATCGTTGGTTGAGAATTAAATTCCTAAAATTTCGCATCATATTTATCATTGTTGGTTGGGACGTCGTCAATATCGGTTGTGTAAACTTGCTGACTGTTCGTTTTGGTCCATGGTGCAGGAGATGCTTCACCAACGAAAAAGAAGAAGCCGTTGCTGAGAACCATCAGGGCGATGATTATGTAGAATATTACTGACCTAAAGTTGGAAACTAAAAGTAGGAAGAAGTAACATACAGCACTGTTTTATTAATCGGCTGCAACAGGTCAGCAGAATTCCTTATAAAATTACAGCTTTCTGCTTAGCCTAGTTCTCGAATTCAAATGGTGTCAACGTTTCGAACTGAACTCTCGTTTGCGCATACGCAAGGCGCAGGCGTTCCCCAAAGCCAAACTCAAATTCTTTAGGTCACACATGGGAAAGCGACAACTTCATGAAATTTCAGCTTTCTAGCTTGACTATTTTCCAAAAGTGCTTCCGTAAAAATATTTATGTCCTTGCGTAAGGCATAGACAGTTGAATTCGCTTGGAACAGAAATGGAGGAGGGGTTGCTTTCATAATTTCGACTTTCACGGATCGATGTGTTTGATACAAGCGCACATGAGAATTGATTTTATGCTTGTCGAGTCGTACATGGACGGAAAACACGGTAGAATTTAACTTTCACAGCTCCTCTGATTGCTGGGTTGAAAGTGGAGGCAAAATCTGCATACCACACACACGTACAGTTTCTCGGCAACATGTGTTTTTGACTGCAAGAACATTTAAAAATGTAATGCTAGTACGCTTGATTTTTGTTGGACCCGAAAGTTGGTGAATTTTGCTTCGAAACAAGTTTGGGACCACCCTACGACAGTTGCTTCAGAAAGAGCCTTTGGAAGTAAAATTACCATTGTTGACTGGTGTTGTCTGGTGCAAGAAGTGAGACAAGCAGCGGGAGGATAAGGATCACCGAACAGCTGATAATTGACAATACAGACATGACAAAGTGCGTATGTTGTCGAGCAACCTGAAAATTTTCTAAATAGTTAGTTAACTAGTAGTTGCTTATGTTTAAAATCGTATCAAAATGATACTTCCTCGACAGCAGTGCATCTTCAAAAAAAGTCAAAATTTTTTAAAAAACTGACCAAACAATTGCTTTTTTAAGTGCCAAATTGAACTGGCGGTGTTTTATCAACATGAGAATTTCTAAAAAAAATGAAAAAAAAAAACTGCAGAAAAAATTATCAGGGAAAAATCACCAGCTGCCCGCTTTTGATAACTCCAACACAGTTCAGTCCACTGAATGCGATTGCTGCTGTGTATGCAATCTGAGCTAGCGAGGCCATGTGTGAAGGTACCAGCGCCAGGAACAAAAAACATGCTACCATGAAACCTGCAAGAACATCTGTTAATTAAAGCTAGAAGCAGAATGAAGTGATCTGCCCGAAAGGGACTCATCTCTTTGACAAACACGCAATTTTTGTTGTTGCAGATAGCACGGCTAAAACAGTCATGCTTAATTTTTATGTTTTTTTTGCAGCTATGCAACGCAAAAACGCGTATTGTCGAGGGGTTGTCTGTGTGTGCATGTGTTTCTGTGTGTGCGTCTGTAACGAGTTTTCATCTGGAGATCCACAGGAGCTACAAGGCTGAAAATTTAGTGACTTAATCTACACATACTTGCGGACTCGTATCCTCAAAATGGGTGCTCAGGTCTGCATGGCTCTCAGATAGGGGAACGTGAAAGTTTTCTTGGCGGGGAAGCGAACGGCCCATGCTAGAAGGCTGGAACTTCACAGAGATGTTCCTTGGCAGCGTCCAATCCAAAGATTTTAAATTCAGCCTTCACACACTCCCAGGTCTCATGTACGCACACGTCCAACTTTAATCTGGCATCATGCCAACTCCAGATTTAAGCTGACCAATAAGCCGCAGAGAACTGCAATTTAGCAGCTTTACTGTGCTCTTGAAAGTAAATTACTTATCAGCTCTTCTGCATCTCATGTACAAAGACGTGAAAATTTCACGCACGCGCTTTTGTAACTTCAGAATTGAACCAGCCAGAGGACCTGGACTTTCTGAGTATAACTGACGGCAACCTTTGACCAAGTACACGCAAAAACGACTTACACATCACCTCCACGTGTCGCGTGTGTTTCACGTGTACACAAGTGAAATTTGGCGTAACTGAAACCTTGGGAGAATGTTCCTTACTCATGTATAACAAAAAGATTTCAAATTCAGCTGCCCAGGGGTGCCCGGGACTTACTGTAAAGGACAAAGGGGCAAAACACAAAATATTTGGGACATAATTATAAAACAAAAAGTATGTGTGCACATGTATATTAATAAAAAGAATAAATATTATAAAATATTATTAAAAGATCCTATCAGGATCTTTTTATGC